AAAAAAATACGGTTTCTTTAATCTCGCTGAATAAATCTTTGGACTGTTAAAATTATTTGTGAAGTCTTATCTTTTTCTTTAAACCCATTGTGCTCCCTTTTTCACCCTTTATTGTTACAGCAGCACGCAAGGTTGGACATACTGTGTCTGTAGTGTCACTATGGCAACCTGCATATCTGCCTGGCTTTGTACCTCCTGATATTGCACTGCACTCCTTTGAGCATAATGAAGTGATTACAAAGAAACTTTCATATCTGTAGCATGTAAAAACTGTCTTTGTGATGTTTGCTTGTGTTAAGTCTGATGTGTTGTAGCGCCCAAAATGCTTTGGGTGTGATTTTTTTCTTTCAAACCACATTTGCACTGTGAGAAACTGCAACAAAGTCAGCTGAAGTCAAAATACGTGGTGATCTGGACAACTGGAACTGAACAAATGCAGCTTATCGCACAGAGGATTTGCCTTTAACCTCCTAGGACCTGGCGTCCACATATGTGGACATCACATTTATGGTCATTTACACCCAAATACTCAATTTTCCTCTACAAGGCCCTGATCCACTTACAAGGACATTATACTGCAACTGTTCGATTGAAATTTTAAACAAATATCCTAATTTGTGGCTCTCATTTTTCTTAGAAACAAAAACTGTGTAAAAAGAAATCTGGTAATTCTTTGTTTTTACATTCATCAGGCCCCAATATGCCCAAATATCAAAGAGAAATTAAAAATGCATGCTGTGGAAGAGTTCAGGTCTTAGGAGGTTAAAGTTAAAGTTAATAGAGAGGTAGTTTGCACAAGAGTAGCTCAGCATCAGAGGTCTAGAAGTTCAGGCTTAAGTTCAGGAGGCCTAAAAACTTTGAACCTGTCATAGCCTTGGTTTGTGTTTGAGATTGGAGGTAGCCATCACTTAAGTATGCATTTATTTAAAAAAATAAAAAAAGATTTGATCTTAAGTGGGACTTTTTTGCAACAATGTCTATTTTTCACACTCAATTTAATGTCAAATTGAGAAAATTATGTGAAATTCTGCTTTTTTTTTTCAGCAATTTTCACACTTTGCAAAGCCGTCCAACAGGCCAGACCCTTTGGTAAGCCTGCGGAGCACATGTTTGACACCCCTGTTCTACACAATATTCACATTAGTGTACTTAAACAAATCCACCATCTGGCAGATCTTACAAATGCTTTGATTCCACTCTGAGTACTACACTGGACTAGCTATGAAGACTCGAATGCCCTAAATCATATCCAAAAGGAGTTGCTCCCTGCTGGCCCTTAGAGACAGTGCAGGTTAAAGGCACTACCACACTTTCTTTTAAATACAATATATGCTCACTACGGGGCTTTGAAGGGTGGCTGTAGCTCCGGACGTAGACCAGGTCACCTACTGATTTGGTGATTGGCAGTTTGATCTCTAGTCGTTCCAGTCTGCATGTCAACTATCCTTGGGCAAGATACAAGAAAGCATAAAAAAGTGCTCGTATGAGTGAATGAATGAGGCTTGTTGTATAAAGTGCTTTGAGTGCTGTGCGAGAATAGAAACGCACTATATAAGTGTCAGTCCATTTACTGGAGATTTTTATCAGAACTACTTCCATCTTTCTACTATTTTGCTTTTACCCTTTAACCAGATTACACATTGCTTGAAATCATTTCTCTACCAACACTTGATTTCAGTTCACAGTAAGAATAGCTTTCAGTTTACCAGAATGACACCAGAATACCAACATGAACAGCTTTTATATGAGTTTCAAACACATCGGTCAAAAGCGTGAGTGGATCCGTGACTGCCCTCTGTTGGTCTTGTAACGTTTTTTTTGTTTGTTTTTTTTGTTTTTTACAAAAACCAAAACTCAAACAAAGATATTCCTAGTTGTTAAAAGTAAAATTCAACAAACTCAACACATAAATTCTCAAAAAAACAACAACAACAAAAAACCCAATAGCCTAAAAAATGGACCAAGATAAAGAAAAAAGCTGCTCTTTTCACCTTCGCCTTATCTTCAGCAGCAGACTGTCACATCTTATGTTGTAATTTATGACAGGGAACAGCTATTCCCTGTAAACTAGGTAAGATTACATATGATGCAGAAGTCATATTAGAGCCAGTTCACACCAGTAAGTGTAATATAAGCAGACAAAATTATTAAAATTAAAGACACACATTCATCTCCTGTCTCCAGCTCATACAGTGAAATTAGAATAGCAATTGAAAATGAGTCTGTGTATACTTATGCCAAAGCATAAGAGTAACTGAGAGATGATGGGATGTGTTATCAGAAATCACAGCATCTCTGTCATAGAGACTGAATGAGCATGAATTTTTGAAGATGTGAGTCATAAACCTCAGGCACACTGTCTCGCTATGGATTTTAAGCACGATTAGATGACAGTGTAATAAACACAGGAAATGTTTAAATTCAGGATGTGAGCACAAATAAACAACACTGTTTCCCCTCAAATGTGATGTGTTTAATAAGTCTTCAGATTACAGACAGCAAGTGAGTGAATGTTTCTACTCGTCTCTCCAGAATCTAAAAGAAGACAATTTAACACTGAATACAAAGTTTTCTACAAAATCCTAATGCACTCAGCAACAAATCATTGGAAGTGGCAAGAAAACCCTATGATATATGTAAAGTGTGTCTATGTCACGTCCCATTGTTTGCCTTGCTAAAATCAAAGTATTTGATTTTTTTTAAACATTTTTGTTTTACATGTACAGACTATATGTAATTATTACCTACAGTTCTAAAAGAATTTAAGTAAAAAATAATGAGATACTGATGATCACATTCAAAATTATATGGACAAAAATGGCTTTTCAAGCTTGTTAGTTGTATAAACTTGTTTTTGTGTGTGTGCTGTATTTCCATGTATGTTTGCACGTTTCAATAAACCACTGCACCAGGTTTTTTTCCAAACAAAATATGGAGAAATGATAAGTTGCACAGGGCTGTAAGTGCAGGTATCTTAAAACTAAGTGTAAATTTATTTGAGCCTTTTTACTTTCTGTGATTAAAATTATTTTTATAATTATTTTCATCTTTATTTAGTTATTCTGTGTATTTTAATATATTGACTTTTATTTTATACAAACTGGCAACTTCCGCCTGCCTCTCAGCGCTTTTTGCGTACGTACGTTACGTTGGTCAGACGCGTACACACAGAGACATCATGGCGGACGTGCTGGATCTTCATGAAGCGGGAGGCGAGGACTTTCCTATGGATGAGGATGGTGATGGTAATAATATTATGTTCAATGTTAGTGGCAAATACTTTACAGTCCCCGCGTTCAAATGATGTGTAATTATTGAGGTCCGAATCGCAGCCGTCATGTTCGTAAACGGAACAAAAGCTAGACTGCGTGGTGGCAGGCCCGATAAATGCTAACATGCTAACGCGAGTTAGCGCCGTATAGTTGATTTATTCAGTCGCTCCGTACAAGTTAGCAAAGCTACAGACATAGAGATGTTTAAAATTCACCTGTTTCATTTCGAAGAGGAAATTTACTTGGCCGGTAACTTAACTCTCATTGTGAGTGTTGTTAGCAGCTGCTAACACGCTAATTCGCGGTTAGTGCAGCTAACGGGTAATTGTTTATGCGGATCAAACTGGGGGGAGCGGGCATGTTAAACATGTTCCTAGTCAGCTGAATTAAATTGGTGAATTTTGATCGTTGTTAAACTTGTAGTGAAGCGAACATTGCAGCAGCGTGCGCTGGCCCTGACTTGTTCATCTTTCATTCATTAGAGAGCATCCACAAGCTGAAAGAAAAAGCCAAGAAGCGGAAAGGACGAGGCTTCGGTTCAGGTGAGTGACCCCTGGTGTGATGGCGATAGTTTACATAGCGTCTCTTACTTCAGCTATGCAGTACAGTAAGTGTTTATTTGTCGACATTTCCAGAGGAGGGAGCCCGGTCCAGAACCAAAGAGGACTATGATACTGTGGAGCAAGATGGGGATGAGCCAGGCCCTCAGAGATGTAAGTAAAGAAACAGTTTAACACAGGATTATGTCACGAACTTGAAACGACAGCCTGTGGCTTTGCGGTGATATAGCAGAAAGTACCACTGGTTTTCTGGGTAGTCTTATTCATTTGCTGTTGATGTGATAATCACTGCTGGGTAGAACATGTTAGAACATATTTAAATACATGTTCTTAATTGTCATTGTCTTAATACTTAACCACAAAATAATTTGTGTTTGTGTCCTCATTACAATTGTGTGGTGCAATTTCTCATGATTATCAATTTATAAACCTTTCACTACAGCACCACAGGCTGTGTTACAGAGTAATGCAAAAGTAAAATGATAAAGTAACTTGTGATTAGTAAAGTAATTCATTACTTTTCTAAAAGTAACCGGTAAGACAATGCCTGTAATGATAAGTTTGGTCAATAGTATAAAGTCCAAGCTACATGTGTTAATCAACAGCAAAAGAAGAAGGATTACGCTGGTACCATTGAAATCCATTCAGATTTACAAAAAAACAAAACTGCCTCCAAAAAAGTGTCACTACTGTTATTTATTGACTTAATATCAAAGCAAAACTTTTTATTTTACATTAAATGCTTTATTGCAATGTAGCTTTGGCATCACACTGTCAACAAGTAGAATATTTTTTTTATTTATGACTCAAATACAGTGTTTGTTTGTTTTTTGTCTTTTTTAAGCTGATACACTTGAAAGTGCTACTTGGTAAATGTCCTGTATTTGTATAGCGCTTTACTTAGTCCCTATAGACCCCAAAGCGCTTTACACTAAATTCAGTCATTCACCCATTCTCACACACTGGTGATGGCAGCTACATTGTAGCTACAGCTGCCCTGGGGCGCACTGACAGAGGCGACTTGATTCATTACATGCTGATTCCTTTCCTTGCTGCAGCTGTGGAGGGCTGGATCCTCTTTGTGACGGGTGTACACGAGGAGGCCACAGAGGAGGACATCCATGATAAGTTTTCAGAGTTTGGAGAAATCAAAAACCTCCATCTCAACCTTGATCGCAGAACAGGTTACCTTAAGGTAAAAAAATACAACAACAAGAACCACATGCTATTATTGTTTGGGTTTTTTTGTGTGTGCGTGCGTGCGTGAGCTGATAACCCTGGCTAATACAGGGTCGCCGTCTGGTGATGCCTGATTCTAGCCCGCTACTTGGAGTTAAACCTCAGTGTGGTTTGCAGCTACGCTTTGAGGAATGGGAGGCGTGCGGTTGTTCTGTAGATCTTTCAGACAGGTTGATTGTACACCTCAAACAACGCTTCTGTTAAACTGTTAAATTGGCTCTTTTTGTTTTGTTTGACTGGTTTTTACATCCAGTTCTGTTTGAGTGGAGAAAAAATGGCTTGTTGAAAACATTGCTTCATTCTTGGGTAAAGGTGGTTTGAGCCCAGACAGATCACTGTTGCCTTCCACCTGCATACACAACACCTGGCTGCATAACATGTTTGTTTGACTCTTAACGATGACACCACGATGCCATCCATGAAGAATAAACTCAGAAGCCAGAGCCATGACCATCCACTGAGTCACACTTTAACCGATTTCATACAAAGAGAAGTGCCAGTGTCAAGTTAGTTACCAAAAAAGTAACCAACATTTCTCTGGTCTAATTATTGCTAAACAAAACCCTAAATCAAAAGATTTTTAATACTGCACATGTCCTTAATGTCTGTAAAGGATTATGTTTTGGTCTAACAATCCCATCTCCTCTGTCCGTGTGAAAATGAAATTATTGGTAACCCGCTTGCTGGTCTTCTGATCAGATTGTTCTCATTTTTAACATGTGATGTGGATCAAACTGGAAATTTTACACACAATGACAAATTTTTACTAAAAGCACATTTCATTGTCCTTTTAGTGTTTTGTTGTTGTGCACTGTTTGGTTTTTATGATCCCATAAATCAGTTTAACAGGGGCTTGTGACACCTTTTTATAGTTGGGTTAACTTAACCAAATTCAAACCAGGAATATACAGATATTACACATTTGTTTGTTTGTATTCCACACACATGGTAAAGTAGAGAAAGATTGTTTGTGCAGCCAAACTGAAACAACTGCATGAATGCAAAGGAAGAGCTATTTGTAGAGTCCTCATCCCACCATTGTCATTGTATTTCAGCTGTGTATAACACTTATTCCATGCGGGGAAAACACTTGTGCAGAGGATGCATCTGGTCATCTTTGATTATAGCTCCTTCAGCATGCCTCTTCTCTCTTTTCCAGTTGCATTTCAGGGATGCAGACATCCTTCAGTAAGGCGTCCTGAAATAAAATTTATTGGGGGCACAGTCAGGTCTAACGATGGGGAACTAGATTAGGGCAAAGAAGTGCAAATTAAAACTGTTCCTTTTAAATATAGAAACACATCCTCTTTTCGACCACAAGGTGGCAGCATTGTTTTTGATGTAAAGTAGGACCAAAGGGAATTCTACCCCAACCTCTGTCAGCTAAGAATGGAGAACGTGAAAAGTTTTCCTTAAAGGCGGTTTGAAGCAAAAACAGATTGTTGTACAACAAAGTCAGAACGTGTTCTACAAATAACTGAAGTATTTGATTTTACTGTGTACATAAATATGCAATAATTCACACAGTCTTCTGTCCCCAGGGTTATGCACTGGTTGAGTATGAGACGTACAAAGAGGCTCAAGCAGCCATGGAAGGGCTCAACGGTCAGGACATGATGGGACAGCCTATCAGTGTAGACTGGTGTTTTGTCAGAGGGCCTCCCAAGAACAAGAGAAGGTGAGGGTGGTGTCTTCATCCATCTTGGAGCAGAAACAAGCGCCAGTGTTTGAAAAATATACAGAAACATACTCTGTACATTCATTTCAGTAGGATTTTGTCATCATAAGTGATCATTTTTTTCCCTCTTACCACGCAGCCACTACTGATGACATGACTACTTAAGTTTTGTAGATAAGATATAATTTAGTTTAAATGTCTGTGTGACAGATGACAAAACATTAAACACAGCTCAGAAATAAGTAGCCTAAAGTCAAATTGTTTAAAAAAAACAAACATAGAAAACAATATCCAAAACACAGTGGTTCAATAAAGTTAAAAAAACCAAACCAAAAAATGAAGGGACTCGATAAGTAAAAAAGAAAAAACCCCACAAAAGTCAAATTAAGTTAAAAAAAAATCTTTAATGGCTGACTATAACACATGTAATATTTAAGTAGAATTTATTATGTAATTGGTGTTGAATTTTCCTCTTTCTACCCAGCACTTAGTCTTTGCATTCATATTTGCAGTAATGACAATTTAGATGTTACATTTTCTAGTTACATTATTACTGAAAAGTTTCTCTTCATTTATTTATTTGATTAGAATTCAAATCTCTCAGTGAATACAGAATAAAGATCTACCCCAAAGAAAGAAAGCACGAGATAAAGCTAATCAAAAAGGTACTGACTGAAGCAAATGCTTATTATGCTAACCCTTTTAACCAAAGATCATGTAGGAAGCAGCTCATTTACATAGGGCTCGAAGCAAAAGAGTAAAACAAAACGAACAAAAAAACTTTCCATCTTAGATAAGTTAGTAAATTAAATTTCACAATAATAATTCGTAATAATTTGATAATCCACGCAAAACAACCAAGAGTTTCTGTATTATTATTAATATTGCTCTTCTTCATTCTTGATTAATGTATTTTTCTAATACTCTAGTTTTAAACATGTTTTTAAACAAGAAAAATAAACTACACCTTTTTAAGTGACTGTCACAGCTATTGCACAAGTTACTATAAATATACTTTATTTATGCTATAGTTAATGTTAAAGCAGGTAAAACATAAAACACAGTTTAATAGGGTAATAAATAAATTACAACAATAAATATATTTTTTTTTCATTTTACCACCCATATTGACAGTGTAGTTATTTAAGTGAAACTCGATGATTTTTGAATTTATTTATTTATTTTAAGATTTCCCTTTTTGATTTAATGTGTGTTTTGTTTTAGGGCTGGTGGACGGAGGCGCAGCAGAAGTCCAGACAGGAGGCGGCGTTGAATGGAGGAAGTCATCACTTTGATAACCAGTTAATAGGCTTCTAATGCCTTCCTGTGAAGAAACTTTTGGAGTTTTTGTACAATATTTTCAGTAAACGTTGTGTAGCTGGGTAATTGGTTCTAACAGAATTTGTGCTTTTACTTTCAGACAGACATTTACATGTTTATGGTTTTCATGAATCCCTCACAGTGCTTTCTGTTTGCTCATTGTAACTTGGTTTTTATTTTATATAACCTCGGGAAAATTAAAAATTTTAAAATGTCAACCTATGATTTGTTTGTCTTTTTGTTTTTAAAATAACAGTTAACAGAGAAATCAGCCTGCCAGCTCATTTTGCAAATGATAGATAGATAAGCATATATAGACATATACATATGAAGAATGTAGAAAAGAACATTTAGGATTTACATATATAATACTTATGAAAGGGAAAATGATAATGTATAGGTTATCTTTACTTTCGAAATAAGTTAAATTTACCTTTCATGTTAATTAAGTGTGTAACTTTGTGGTGTGATGTGTAAAAGTTACCTCTTATTTCTTTATATTTATTCAAGGGTTTGGGTTTTTTGGGGGGGGACATTGGCTCCTTTTTCTTTTTTTGCCTGTCCTGTTTGGTTCTTTTGCCATCAGAATTATTGTCTAAAGGCAAAGAAAGATGCCCAATGGATTTACTTTACCAAATGGACCGTCCCAGCCTTGCCGTATTGGTGTATTTGATTCACCTTTGCTTTTATTGTTTATTTTATTTTCATTTGCTGAACACGGGACAGACTTGACTGGGGGAAAGAAAAAGAGCGGGGAAGAGGGACGGTGATAAAGGGCAAAAACAGACAAAAAATACATAGATCAATCACCTGGATCAGCTGTTGAGAAAGAAAAAAGAGAAAACAAGCAAAGAAAAAGAGCAATATAATAAACAACATCATCGCTATGATCTATGTGAATATAACACTAAATATTAAATATTATTGTGCAGCACCTAAGATCGACAGTGCACAGTGAGCTTTGAGGTAGCAGTGACGTGCCCGTGAGCTCCACCAATGCACCGAGGGCATTTGCCACTGGTAGGGGAAGTGATGGAGGGAGATAGGCCTCCATACCTTGGAGGGCCTGAGATGTCCCCAGAGAGCTGGGTCTGATACCTAACCTGACATATAAACACAAACAAACAGGAACACACAGATACAGACATCCATTCCCACCTTCATGCTCTCATTGGCTCCTTTTCTTTCACTCAGTTGCAGTACAGTCCTTGCACCTGGTCATTTTCAAAGGAAGCCACTAAAAACCCCAATGAATCATTCAAGGGCAAGGAAAAGCTTTAAATGTCTTTTAAGAAACCTGGTGAGCTATTCCCTAAAACATCTTAACGAAACACTAAGTTTGTCTTTCATGAGTAGAAAAGGTTTGACATGTACTTCCATTTATTTTTGAAAACAACAAAAAAACGTTTTGCATGCGAAAATTGACATTAATGGTCATGAAAAGTGCTGAGACCTATAAAAAAAACCAACTCTTAAGCTGCAAGTAATATTATCCATGCTAAATGTCCACGTTTTGTCACAGCTTATTAGTGTTTGTACAATTCCAGAAAAGATGGATTACGCTCAGACGTGTTCCCTGCTGCGTTTTATTTAGCATCGCTAATGACGTAGGGTTTACATCATCCTGGATGACCTCATCCCGGCCACGGTGACGCCCCAGCTATTTTGTTAACTCCAAAGCACCTGTCACTCTGGCCTGAGTGCCGCACTGTCATTGGCCGCTGACACAAAAAACCCACTGGCCTCTCATTTTCTTGCAGCCAATTGGCAGGCGGATGTTTGGCGTTCTCATTTGGTGTTTACTCTAATGGGGAACGTCAGTCAAAATGTTCTAGCCCGACCATTGGTTCTCATAAACGTCAATAAAAGAAAACACCCGCCTCTGATTGGCCGAGTCCTCTCGGGGGCCGTCTGAAACCTTTGGTTGACGTTGTTGTTGTAAGTGGTGGAGAAATTACTTTGTCGCTGGTGGTCCGGTTTGGGATTTTACACACCGTTCTCCATATGAGGACACTAAAAAGTTAGAAGTCGTTGGTACTGGAAACGTATTTGCTACTTACAAGTTGGCACTTGCTGGAAAACTGAATGGGACGATGAAAACAACATCTGCGAGGCCGCTAAAGGTAAGCAGTAGAGGGATACTCCAGCTCCTAGCGTTAACGTAAGCTACCGTTAGCTTGCTGCTGATTAGCCAGGCTTGAAGTAGCCACTTGCTAGCCAAAGGTAACGGTTCGTTCTAATAACTGAAAAAAATGTACAGGACTTCTTTATGGTGAGCATTCATGCGCATGTCTGGCAGACTTTAAATGGACGATTATAATTACTAATGGGTGCAAATAAAGTTAGTGGGATATGTTTGAACGGTGCATGAACCTCATGCGTTTGAACGCCTCAAATGCGTTTATGTAAGCATGTTTATTGTTCCCTGATATTTCTTCTTCAAAGAATAGTTCTAGCCATTAAAAGCTGGCTCAGAGTCAGCAGTGGGGACAAGCCATCATCGTGTGTAGCGTTAGGATTCAGCGCAGAGCAGGACTGGTTTCTGAATACTGCCTCAGCTTTATAAGCTGTCAGCTAAGCAGTGTGACCACTGATATCAATTTCAGCTGATCTCTTTAGTAGTTGTGCATCTGCCTGTGGAAGTAAGTTAAATCGTCACCTCGTTTTTTCTGGGAGCTTCTAGTCACGATCCAGCTTATCGGAGTCCGCCTTTTATTTAAGGTGCATGTGTGATGTAACATTGACTTAAAAGACCAGCTCACAGGAAATTACCAGAGCCAGCTCTTCACACACCACAATTTCTAACCAAAACAACTGGGTTTATTGAGTCTGAATAAGCATCTAACTCGGTGTGAGGCTCCTGCCTGAGCTGACGGGTCACAGGGTTCACTGCTTTTTACTCATTCTGAAACTAGAACTAGGTTGATTTGGCATATTTTTCTCTACATCACCACAGCGAGAAAGTATTAGGTTGCACTCTGCCTTGAATTATTTAGGTCTTGTAGTTGTGGACTCTTTTGTTTGCCAGGACACCAGGACAGACAGCCTATATGAAAAGTAGGACAGAGGTACAAGTTCTTCAGTGTATTTGGCCTACAGCGGGGGTGTCAAAAGTCATTTTAGTGAGCAGGGTATGTACAGCTCACTTTGATCCAAAGTTTGTTTGACGTGTAAAACCACTGGATAATATCCTTTATATACACAAAATTGTCTTTGTGTGAAGAAGTATAGGTACCTAGGAAAAACATTTGCATTTAATAAGCTATTTAAAAAGCAAATGATAAGCAGTCAAGGATCTCTTAGGCAAAAGGAGTGCAATTAAAACCAGTATTTCCACATTTCATCACCCTATTGGTGTTACATGTATTTTAAAATATATAGTGGCTATTTAAAGGCACATGACCTTCACACATGTATTTTGGATCTCAATAACACCAGTATTTTACTTCTGTTTGTAAAAGCAGAGAGAATTGCAAGTGTCTTCTCTGAAATTTGCATGCTTTGCAAAGCCATCCAGAAGGCCAGGCTGGGTGTGCTTTGCTTTGACTGCGGATTTTGATTAAAAACAAAACGCACACATAATAAACACACAGCAGTGAAGAGGAAGCTCGTTGACAAGTTAGGTATGGTGTAGTAGGAAAAAGAAACACATTCAGCCCTCCACCCATACTCACTGTTTCCAGTGGCTGTGAAGGATGATGCTTGAAATGTAGGACACACAAGCAACTGCTGATCAGTACCAGTGTGGAAAGTTGAATACTCTACTACCAGTGCACTTTGACTGTAATATTTGTCTTTTCTGCGAGTGACTTTTGCAGCTCGATAACTCTGAGGTATGATCAGTACGTTCCAGCAGAGTCTCATGGCAGTTTGTGACGTGATCACAGCTTTCGTGTGTTAATTTGATCAATTTCCAAATCTTATTTTCATGTCCCTGAATTTTCAAGTCTCCATATGTACTGATTTGTGTCTACATACATAAAGTAAATATTTTTCACCTCTAAAGGGTGCAAGAAGTCTACATTTAGAGACGGGAGGGGTTGGTGGTGCCATCATTAGGATGGTTACAATTCAACAGTATTATTTTTGATTATTCAAACTGCTTAATTAAAAAAAAACAGAATTAAACTACAGTGGTTGTCACTTCTTTTTAGCTTAGTTTTCTTGGTTGTCAGCATGACTATGCTGGACAACTTAAGAGCTGTAGACATGAATCCTTCTTCCTGTTTAAATGTGTCACTCTCAAAGCGAAAGTAGCCCAATTTTTGGCCATGAACGTGGAAAAATAGATTTTCTTCTCAGCAGAGATTTTTTTTTTTCAATATTGTTTTTTTGTTACGTAGTTTAAAATGTAAAGAAAGAGAAACTGTTGAAAATATAGATTATAAACTTCAAGGTGAGCATTTTAATTGTTGCCTTCTTAGTGTTTTAAAACTGGGCGTGATGTATCTGACTAAATTATGCCAAGAAGTTGTTAGATAATGTCCTAAATGATCCTCCTTTTTTTTTCTAACAATGTCTGTAATTTGAAGAAAACAACAGGATGACATGAATCACAGGGATTCATATATTGCTGCATTGGTCATCTAATATGAATGCAATGAAGGGAACATTTATCAACATTTTAAACATTTTTATTTTCATAGGCGCAGTCAGTGAAGTTTTTGACCGCACCTCATATTTGCACCGATTATCTCACTGTTGGTAATTAAAGTGATAAAACTGCCCATCAGTTCATGGTGGCAACTATTTAACATGATGCTCAGTTTTTCTGAGGGTTTGTGTCAGGTTTCATTATACAAGTCCTCAACACTTGAAGGAACATATTATATTGATGCATACAGCAGCAGAGAGAGCACCTCAGGCGAGTATTTTAAGAGGGGTGTAGCATCCTTCTGACTGCAAGTCAGTTTCCAAACTGGCAGGGTGTAAAAGTAAAAAAAAAATGAAGACTGAAAACAAAAAGTGCTCTGCTGCTTTGTAAATATGTGGATTATAGGCACAGGAATACAGTCTATTAAACTGCCTTCTCAGTGCACTAAACAGGCAGTAGCTCAGCCTGCATCCAGTGGAACGGAACAAAAATAAAACATTACTGAGTTATTGCTCTTTGATTTTCCTCGAACCATTTGAATTTGGTTGATCCAAATTTAAATATGTGGCTTGCAATCTGCAGTGTATCATATGCATCAGATCTCTTAACAGGATTCAAATGTTATGTGGTTGGGAGTTCACGGTAGCCTCGGGTCACAGTGACACTGATGGTGATGGTGAAGGGAAATCACCAGGACCGGGGCTAAAATGGTTTTAATTGCTACTTTTTTCTAAAGTTGGTTTTAGTTTGGCTAACTTTAAAATGCTTTATCAAAAAATAACAGGACAATGCTCACATTTATATCAACCAAAGACTTTTTACCTAAACTCAGTACAAAGCAGTCGCGCTTACCTTCATATTAACAAAGGCTTTGTTTGAGCCAGCGTGCTAAACTGTATTTCACTCGAATTTAGTTTGCAAGCTCTTTTATCGTTAATGAACGATTACAAAACTGTGTGGAGTGGTGCATGAGCTTTTTCACCTTCTGAAGCATTGCATGCCCTGCTGTCATCCGAAATGATGAGTTGTAACTAGATATTACCTGTGTAACAGGGTTTGTCATGACGCTGGCAACATGAAGTTTTATGAGCTGATGGTCATGGGCTTATTTGCACACTGTTTTGCAGTTACATGTGGCAATAAAGACAGAGTTATACTTCACATGACAGACAGCCAGTTTAACTTGTTTGACTTTCTGTATGACTTCCTTTAAGGTTTTGTGCCAGTTAGTGTGAGAGTGCTGTAAACATGTGTCACGCACTTATTTTGCTGAATATCCTTTGTGGCTGTCTTGGTGAATATAATGTTATACAAGGTAACCTGTCTGTTTCAGCCATGCACAGGGTATGAAAATTTAAATTTTCCTCTCGCTGAGTTCCCCCAAACAGCTGCTCACTGTCAGCGGTGCAGTGTCAGTTACACGGCCAGGCCCGTTTGGCCTACTCCCACAGGAAAACACGGTCAGATTAATAAGTAAGTAGATGAGGTTAGTAGGACAACCAGATGATTTTTTTCCTGTTAAGTGTGCGTGTCCCGCTGGTGGTAAGGCATGAACTAAGCCTTGTTTTGTTTGGACTCTTTGCCGATTTCCAAAAAAGACTTAAAACCCACATCCATCTGTGCTCTTATTTCTTTAAGTAGCACTATTTAGAAACACAGGAAGGGGATAAGATAAAAGGCAAAAACAGTTTTAGTCTGTGCACTGCCACAGCGACACGAGGATCAATAGGTGGCTTGTCTCTAAGAGGTCTCCATGTCCAGACAGCAACTCATAAAACTCTTTGCAGCCCCACCCTCCCCACCATGGCTGGTTGCCTGCCAGTCTTGTGACACAGCAGCTAGCCAGTGCCCAGGGCCATTTGTGTCCAGGATGGGTAGATACTGTGAACTGAGGTGCTTACCTGGGTGCCAGCAGCTGCTTTAATATGAAAACATGCATGTTTTAGTCCAAAATTCGTCATTTTAGACAATTTCTTCGTTTGTTTATAAGTAAAATATTTTTATTTGTGTAAAGAAAAACACAAAAATCAGGCATCTGTTGACACTCATTATATACCGTAGTACACTATACTATAGTATAAACTATATTTGATTTATCCTCCAAACTGGGGAAACTCTGTAGTCTTTAACAAAATAGCTATGATCATTAGAGGACTTGTGTTGATAAAGTACACTTTATCAACACAAATAAGAAATTTCACTAAAATAAAAGCTAGTTTGAAATCAAAATAAATGTAATTTATATTTAAATAAAAATACTTAGTGGTAATATAATTTATAAGTATTATTTTTAAATTCACCCAGCAAAATACTAAATGTAGAAAAACAGCATAGCAACTATGAGATGACATTTCAGCCGGTATATGTAACAGATTATAGTAAAGGTTTGTCTTGCATTTGAGAAAAAAAAGGTTTTATTTATTAAACTCATTTTAAGAAGGTATTTGAGCAGCATTGACATATACATATATTAAATACAAAATTGTTCTTAGGCTACAAGTGCAACTTAGGGATGTCACTGATATACAG